CCTGGAGAGGCAGAAACTGACAAATTTGTAGTCTAAAACAAAATGAATGCCTCTTAGGACACTAAGATCATATCTCAGAACTTTGACCCAAGGTTGTCACAACCATACGAGTGCAGTTCCTAGCCCTACCTAATGGTAGGCATTAATTCTAATGCCTTTTGTGTGATGCTTCACCTGCATTCATACTTGAAGGGAGTAAGAATCAGGTGACTGTCCTATGAATATGCTCGGGAACATAGTAGCAGATATTCCTGTGTGTGAAATTAGTGTCATCTTTTCTGTATATGGTACTGGTTCTCAAGCTTCATTACAATTGGAGTTAGAAAACTTCAGATCATTAGTGATTTGAGTCCCAGCCCTCCAGAGATTTTGATGTAACTGAGTGGCAAGTAACGGTTTGAGGCTCAGACTAAGGGAGCTTCCCAGTTTAGATCTATACTTAGTGGAGTTTATTATCCTCTGAAATGTGGGAAGTGAAGCGTAAGCTATAAAGGCAATCAGATTGCCAGCAAGCTACAGCAGTACAAAGATGTTCTTTCAAGGGTTTTCAAAGGTTTGTACTTTATCAGCAACCTCATGAAACTGACAAAACACCTGTTTTATAGACGAGGAAGCTGCTCTGGTCACCTGGTTCTCAAATTCAACAGTGCTTACTGAGCTCCACTAATAATTTCTGATTATGAAGGTCTGCGGTAGGACCTGAGAATCTTTGAGATGTAACCGGGTGACACTTAGAACCACTGTTACGGCTCAAGTAAAAATTCAATGACAACAAAAACGGGAATCCATAATCTTGTAATTCAGCTCTTTCTACTCATCTCACTACCTGTGGTGTTCATGTGGTACTCATGGATTCTTTATCTCTACCCATACCTAAACATTGAAGAGAAACTGACAACAAGATGCAAAGAGAGTAAAGAAAATTGAGTTTTGAAATCACTTCATTTTCAGTGTGAGCTCCATGAGTGAGATATGTAAGTAACCTCTGGAAAACTTCCATCAACTGTATTGTGGGAATTATAATACGCTGTTCATTAAGTGGTTCTGATGTAAGTCTGCTTACATAAGAAGGGCTTAATATTATTAATGGTAGTAATATGTTGACAAAACTAGTGAAGATAATTGTGCTTGAGACTGTTTATTTAAAAAGCTGCTCTGAAATACCATCCTTAGGTTGTTCCATGCTTTCCACTCATTCGAGTGGGGGATAGGACAAATGTCCTTAACTTCATAGAATTATCTTTAATGGCACGTATTTTAATTGCTAGAGAAGAGTATCAGTTAAATTGGTGGGCTGCAGCAGAGTACCTTAGGGAACTTAACATAGTTGCAGGAGGCAGTTCAGTAGCCCCCCTTTATTTGTGGGAGTTACATTCCAAGACCCCCAGTGGATGCATGAAACCACAGACAGTATGGAACCATATATATACTGTTTTTTCCCATACACTCATAGTAAAGCTTAATTTTTAAGTTAGACACAATGAGATTAATACAAAATACTGTAATAAGAGGGCAATGTGGCCTCCTTTGTACTCACCCTTAGGATGTAAGATGATAAAATGCCTGTATGACAGAAGTGAGGTGACTGACATAGGTTTTGTGATGTAAGCATTAGGTAAACACTGACCTTACTACATCTGGAGGATTGTATGCTGCTTCATCTCTGGTAACAAACTGCAGGAAGTGATAGGCCCCTGATTGCCAGCATCCTGCTCCCATTCACTAAGCCTCTGCCATTGACCCTGTGATAACAGAGGCAAGGAACAATCTCCAACAGCCAATTTGTAAAGTGAAAAAGCCCAGTGATGCGATGACATATTGAGTCCCTAACAGTTGGCTGTGGTGGGTATGCAGTGTACCTCTGTACCTGTAAGGGCTTCACTGCTCATCCTCACCCAGACCCACAGCAAAGGCTCACCAGACCCAACCATCAGCCCAGAGGGGCAAAGCAGCCCTGGAGCTCACATGGCCCACGGTCTGGTGTTGATGCCTTTCTGCTCAGGAGAGCTGGAGAAGTCCTGGAGATGTTGACTGTGTGTGGCCCTTCTTCCACCTAGGTCTCTCCCCAGGGCTTCCCCTGCCTTCTGTACTGGGAGATAGCCACATGGGCCTTAAAAAGAAAAGCGAGGCAGTGTAAAGGGAAGTGCTTGTTTCCACTTCTAAATCAAGTAACACTTTAGGTTTATACAACATGAAGTTGTAGACATGCAAAAGGGTTACCTGGGGAAAGCAGATCTTGTGTCACACCAAGCACTTTTTTTTTTTTGGTATCATTAATCTAGTTACATGAAAGATATTATGTTTACTAGGCTCCCCCCTTCACCAAGTCCCCCACACATACCCCTTCACAGTCACTGTCCATCAGCGTAGTAAGATGCTGTAAAATCACTACTTGTCTTCTCTGTGTTGCACAGCCCTCCCCGTGCCCCACCATACTATACATGCTAATCATAATGTCCCCTTTTCTCTTTCCCCCGCCCTTATCCCTCCCTTCCCACCCATCCTCCCCAGTCCCTGTCCTTTTGGTAACTTAGTCCATTCTTGGGTTCTGTGATTCTGCTGCTGTTTTGTTCCTTCAGTTTTCCTTTGTTCTTATACTCCCCGTATGAGTGAAATCATTTGGTACTTGTCTTTCTCTGCCTGGCTTATTTCCTGAGCATAATACCCTCTAGCTCCATCCATGTTGCAAATGGTAGG